GTTCTCCTCGGTACTCCTTCTAGTTCCTTAGTATCCTTCTTGTTTTGTAGAGACCAGAACTGAACAATGTATTCTAGGTATGGTCTGACCCTTGCAACAAAGAGCAGAAATCCAAGGACATCTTCAATTCTATAGTCAGTCTTGATGAACACTGACACATGCTTGGTTTGCACTTGTATGCAGAATATGGGGCACAGCTCAGCTTGGTTGCATGATGAAAAAGCTCAGAACTTTCTTCCAGCATTTGTGGGACTCAGTGATAATGGTGGGCATAAACACTTAGTCTCTTAGAAGTCTTGCATTTCCCATTCTCACTCTTATTGTTGCGTTTGTAAGCTGAAAATTGGACCACTCAAATTTGGCTTGTTTTGCTGCTGAATTTTAGCAGCACAACCTCAGGGGCCTTTGAGGACCATAAACAGATGTTGGAGGCCACGTGTGGGCCAAGGGCTTGGGTTTCCCATCTTTGTGTCTTGGAAACCATTCACAAGAAGAGAAATTAGCATGCAATACAGTAAGCATCCTGTTAAAAAGGTTTTGTTTACTGGAACCCATGTCCACCTTGCAGGACCATGGACAATGAATGTCTTCAGGCTGGACAAGGCCTTTTAAGCTAGTGTGTCTAATCCAGGTGTGGTCTGCATAGCGCAGAATTCCACCTTGCAAGGGACATCTTCAGCCTATAGCCCAGCGTTTCTCAACCTTGGCAACTTGAAGATGTGTGGACTTCAACTCCCAGAATTCCCTAGCCAGCCTTGGACCCTCTACATCAGTGTTTCTCAACCTTGGCAACTTGAAGATGTGTGGACTTCAACTCCCAGAATTCCCCAGCCAGCCTTGGACCCTCTCCATCAGTGTTTCTCAACCTTGGCAACTTGAAGATGTGTGGACTTCAACTCCCAGAATTCCCCAGCCAGCCTTGGACCCTCTCCATCAGTGTTTCTCAACCTTGGCAACTTGAAGATGTGTGGACTTCAACTCCCAGAATTCCCCAGCCAGCCTTGGACCCTCTCCATCAGTGTTTCTCAACCTTGGCAACTTGAAGATGTGTGGACTTCAACTCCCAGAATTCCCCAGCCAGCCATGCTGAGAAACACTGCTGTAGCCAGTCTTCATGAAATTCCTCCACAAAGCAGGAATTTAAATTCAAGCATCCCTGACAGATGTCTGTCCAGCTTCTTCCAAGGGTGCATTCAGTGAAGAGGAGTTCACTCCTCCTGTAATCATCAATTCTGTTGTCAAACTGCTCTTAGGATGATTCTTCTTGTGGTTGTTTGCAAGCTGAGATTTCCGCATCAAAAGCTGTCAACAAGGTCACTCTTACCATGCTAATGTTCTTGAGACTTTTTTTAAAATTACCGTAAAGAATTTGCAGATGGATGCAAAATTGGGAAATAGGCAAACTTTGGACAGAATGCAGGCAGAACTAATACAGATGAGTAATAGTTATTCACCCATGAAAACATTCTCAGGGATTCTGTTGTTATTAATCCCTAATCTTTTTTGCTCTCCTCTCCTTCCTTGTAGGAAACCGAGATTGCCACCATTACTGTTCAACCGCTGTCTCTCTTGCTACATGACTTATTATGGCCTTAATGTTTTTGTTGAAACCTGTCCTCTGTCTAAAGGTTCTGGATTCAGAACCCCAGCTTCCAATCTTCTTTCTTTCTTTCTTTCTTTCTTTCTTTCTTTCTTTCTTTCTTCTCTTCCTCATAACATTCAACAATCATTAACTGGCTGGAGCAAAATAAGAGCAACAAAACTTCGTCATCTTCAAGGCAAGGCCCACCATTTTCCACAAGGCGAACACGAGAAGAAGTCTGGTAGCCCCTTTTCCGACTCACAAATTTTATTCAAGGACATATGCTTTCTGAAAAAGTGCTACCAGATTCCTGATTTTTGGCTACTGTAGACTAACATGGTTGTCCTCCCGCAATGTTCACACCAAGGTAGGGAAACAAAAACACAGCAGTTGTAAACAGACCAGACCATCTCCCTGCTACTCTTCAATAGCCAGACAGATGCAAAGAAGAAACAATAATATTTGAGTATGGAGATTCCACTTTTATGTCAAAAATGCAAACTCTTTCCTCCCCTTGTTTGTGGGATCCCCCATTTTCAAGCCATCTAAAGCACCGGCATCGTCACATCCTATTGCAGCAAATGCCCCAAATCAATTATGTCATGAAGTGTTTTCTTTGGCTGTTGAGGTGATTAATACTGTGGGCTGATGCTGAGGAGTTCTGATATCACGAGAGAGGACAGAAGTGAGAAAGAGAGAGGAGAAAAAACTCTCCCTCCCTTCCCTATCTAGAAGGACTGCTTCCTATGCAATCAAAGGCCATTGTTATGAGCTGTGCACTGAAAACTGCAGCTGTGTCAATGAAAAGTGAGTGGGGATGAACAAATGCTTTATGTTCAGTTTTGCTCTGTTGCTCTCTTAACCCAAACGTCTGTTTGTCCTGTGCTGCCTTTATACACATTTGCCATTTTCTACTTTCTCAACAAGGTTTACAGGAAAAGCATCTCAGTGCCAGTTTGATACTGCCTATCTCAGACAGAAAGGCCATCCATCCATCTCATTTCCCTGCTGTTCCTTCTTACGCACGTCTCCTTTAGAGAGGACCTCTAAGTGGGAGCAGCAAGACTTTTAGCAGTCAAGGGCCACATTTAACTTTTCTTGGAGGAACGAGGGCCATGGTGAGCAGGGTGAAAATTTAGATGGTTGGGATTATATCATTCAAAGGGCAGAGCAAGGATTTTCAGGAGTTCCCCACTGAGTTGGGGGGTGGGTGGGGAAATTTGAAGGGGGTTCTATATTTTGAAAACTATTTTAAGCCAGATTTAGAACTGACACTACCATGATGACTACATGTTTCCCACCTCAAAATGATTTTTAGCACTGGTGGTTGGGAAAGGCTAGAAAAAGAAACAAAATCAAGAGAAGTATGTTGACCACCGCTGGCCTAACATAACTTTGTTCTCTTTGCCAGAAAATGGACTTTTCCCCCCTCTTTTTTGTCACTTATTTTCTGTTTGTTTTCTATCTGTTTTGGCTATATTTAGTTCACACAGGGGCTTTTCATCTGATTTTACAAGTGCCCAGGGAACCGTTGAGTTAAGAAAGCTTACGCTGCAGTCACTTCATCTTCATATTATTTTATGAGGTCTCCAGAGAAGGATAAAGCTGGTGTGTTGCAACAACTGATCATAAATCACATGTGGGGGAAGGTCTAGGTCTTGTTGAAGGAGATCTAATAAGAACAGGCAACTCCTTGCTCAGTGAAGCACATTCTGATGTAATGGTGATCAAGTTGGAGAAGCAGATCACCAAAAGTCCTGGAATTAATGTGGGGTGAAAGAAGGTTTGCTGCTGGATGGTGTTAGCCTGCCAGTTGATAAAGATTTAAATCAGGAGACTCACAACTAGTGCTGTGGCTTCCTGAGCAATTTGATATGTTATCTCCCCACTGTGATTTTGAATATGACAGAGGACAGAAATGATGAAACACTTGGGGAACTGGCATGCTGATTCTCATGAGTTTGATGTCGTTTTGATTGTGTTTCAATTAATTAAAATGAAAATTGTAGTAAACTCCCCACTTTTTGGAGCATGACCTTGACTACTCCTCTCTTGGGCCAGATGTAGACTAGATGGGACAAAGGTTCAAATCTGCAGCTTTCCAGGCATGGCTGACTCACGATTCTCTATAGCCCTAGCTAGTTTGGCAGAGTTTAGAAACCTTTTCAAGTCTTGAGTGTCATTGTGTGGTTTTATTAAGGTGGAATGGGGAGAAATAGTAATATTAATGAAAACACAGTGGATGAAATGCTATAAAGTGTTAAATTTCATGAGATTTCTGCATGCTCAGACCCAATATCTTGTCAGATTTTGATGTTCTCGTCCACCAAATCTTATGATACTTTTAGAGTCAGAACCGCAAAGTATCATAAACGTGGTGGGCGAGAACAAGATGTTGAGCTATACAAGATTTGAACATCTTGCCAGATTTTAGTCTTTATAAATAAGTATTTGTTTATTCAGCAGACCCCAACTCAGGTGGTCACAGGTGGCATGACATTTACAGATATTGCGCTGCCAAGCCACCACTGATGATAGAGTTGAACAGCATCTGAGGCATCCATTAGAAGCCACAGTGACATCAGAACAACATCACACATATCATGAGATCATCGGGCATGATGTCCTTTGTTCCTTCTGCATCCCTTGTAGATGTCTACAGTATATCTGTGGCCAACCAAGGTAGTCCTTTGCACTTACTTCCTTATGCTCCCAGAAGCAAGGCTGCATTGAATAATGTGTTTTGGCCCCTGAAAATTTTAGAGCACTGTGTCCCCTTTTCATTTCTTGACCTTCTTCCTTAACCAGTCATGCTGGAGGAAACATTTCAGACCACGTCAAACAAAAAGTTTGACTTGGAAGCATTGGCTTCCAATGATTGTCTGTCATAGCTGTCTGGGGTGAAGGAGAAATGACCCTTCCTCAGTCCATTCCATACACTTCAAACCAAACAGGCTATAAGTATTGGCAATTGGGTAGCATCCTCCATCAAGCCTCAAACAGGAGGCTCATGAGAAGCACATATCTCTGTTCGTTGTTGCCCATTTTGCTAGGCAACCCTTTAAAAGTCTTTTTAAACATAGATACTCAAAATGCCTTGGTAGTTGTCAGGGTGAGATCATGTTGGCCTCGGAAGAGTGAAGCTGATGACGTCACAACCAGTCAGTTGTGATGGAATGGACATGCTGCAGTTCAGCTCCATGGTTCAGTAGGTACATTCACTCCTTTGCCGAACCTCCACTTAATGATGGAGAAGCTCCTTAGAAGCTAGAATGGAGCAAGTCCTCTTCTCTTTTAAAGTGCTGAAAACAATCGTAATGATAAAAACTATAGCTGGGTCTCACTGTCACAAAGGCCTGAGAAAGTAGTAAGAAATTATTCTTAAATAATAGCTAAGAACCCAGAGCTGCCTGAAGAAATGGCTGATGACACGGATGAGGAGTCATCCAAATTGGAGGTGAGTTGCCCTGATTCCCCAAGATGCAGATGAATGCCACAAGAATGAGAAACTCAGGACTGCACAGTGTCCAAGGATGGAGAGAAAGGTTGCATTAGGACTACCAACAACTTCCCTGGCAGTGTAAAATAACAACTTCAGAGGTTGACTTTTTCTGGGACCCCAATAACAGGAGAAGAGAGAAAGACATGATGACATTCTTCCCCTTCTCTAGAATGTCTTTTCCCTGTTAGCTTTTGTAAAAAAGCATCTTGGATACACACAAGCATAATATTTTCAAGGAAGTTTGTTAGAGGGAACCCCAGGGCAGGAGAAGGAACATGGAGACGATTAAATCTGGGCATCTCCAAGGAGAACCAAAAGAGATGGTAGCTGTAATTGTATGACACTGGCTGTCTTCTTGACTTTTGGCACACATTCACACAAACACACACACACACACACACAAAACACAGATGCCCCTGTGTTGGGCCCAAGAAATATATGTATATCAGTCAAGTTATTTTACTAGACAGCACAGACCTGGCTAGAAACACTGGAAGTCACCTTCAAACGAAAGACTGTTGGTTCTATTAACTCAGTTTCTGCTTCTTTCTCATCTCTGACTTTTATGCACCGCCTTACTTGATGAAGAATCTTGGCACTCTTGAAGGCATGCCAACTCTTTTGGCGTAACTGGTTTGCAAAATCTTGAAAAGTGTGTATTTCAGCACATGGGTACCTCTCCGAGTCTCCTATATATTTTGCAGACATGGAATGAATTTCTCATCCGTCCCTCCATTAAGGAAATCCAGTTAATTGTAGCATGAGATCTCCCTTTTACCAATGCATGGCACTGAGAATTCTTTTCTGTTTTGCTTTTTGAACCTGGTGACTTCAGAAAAAATCAGAGCACAGAAAATCCAGCATACGAAATCGATTCAGTTTATTTTCTTGGGGAACCAAAAAGGTAGGTCCCAGATTAGAAATATAATGTAAAGTGGGGTGTCTTGCATGTGTTTTAGGATTGCACCAAAAGGACCAGGATTTTCTTCTTTTTTCTTTTTTTTTCATTCCTCTCAAAAATCAAAATTTCTGTTAATTCTTTTTTTTTTTTTTAGGAGTAAGGAAGAGATATTAAAAACCCCTACCATTTTTTTAAAGGGAGGAAATTAAAAAATGGCTGCCTCCTTCACTACTGGTGGATGTATATCTGCCATTTTAATGGATAGCCATTGAAGATTTGTGTGATACATTATGTAATGACAGGGCAGTGTTAAATTATCTGGCATAAATAGACATGATCAAATATGATTAAAGGTATACCATTATGGTGGACCATTTTATATAAACTGATTTATCAAGAGTTTGTTTAAGAGTTAGGTTTAGTTTTTTAAAATAAAGCTTATTTTGCCCCCCCCTCCCCCAAATGAATGCAGACTTAAAGGTATCCAGTTCTTGGCTTGAGGCTTGAAAAACAGAAATATAGTGCATTTCTAACAGGTTCAGTGGGAATAACCTATTATATAATGGTGCACTCCAGTGTAGTTAGAGGTATATCAACAAAAAGATCTGAAGAAACTAGGTTTGATCCATTTCATAAATGTTATGGCCTCCTCTGTCTATTTCCCAAATGTCTGAACCTGCTTGATCAGTTTCGCAAATGCCTCCAGTTGCTGTGTCAGTTATGCAAAAGGTTGGTTTCTCCTGCGCTTGAAACATTCCTTCCCTCTCTCCTTTTTGCGCATACTTTAGAGAGGAGCACTAAGAAAACTCACTGATGCTTCCCATTTAAAACATGACCCTGGGAAGGAGAGAGAGAGGAAAAGATAAAGCTGGAGGCAAGAGTAAATAGAGAATATGCATTCAGCTGTTATATGTATTTATGCTTGGCTTCTTACAAATTGGTTGTGCCAAAAGGAATGATATAAATGCACATCTTTCGGAGAGAATAACGTTGCCCAAACGTTCTCAGAAGCAGTTCCACATCTAAACAGGCACCAAGAGAGAAATATCAGAGTAATTGAAGGGAACCAAGGATTTTGTTAAGTGGGAGGATGGAGAAGATGGAAGACTGAAGGTCCAAAGTAGGGTTATCTAATGAAGCTTTCAGGCATGGATATTGAGTGTGACTAGCCAAGAAGACCTTGGAATGAACCCAAAAATGGATAAGAGATGGTAGCTTTGCATCTGTGGCTTGAATATTAGGGCTTCCTTCCCAGCTAGCAGAGTATGTCCTTTGATTTTTTCAGGGTTTGCATGCTGCCCAAATAAAAGCGCTCTGAGGTAGGCATACAATAAGCATTGGGAGATTGATGCCACAATAACAAAAGAATATTAAGAAGGGCATCCTAGAACAGGTTAAAAAGTATTAAATTATGCTGCAGATCTAAAGTACCGTAAATGTGGTGTGCATATAGCTCCAAGTATACTGGGGGACCAAAAAGGGTTTTGCCCACAGTACTGAAGAGTATGAAATGGACCCAGAAGTGTCTTTATGGGAAGAGCACTCCATAACCAGGGAATCATAAATGAGAAATGTCTTTCTCCAGTGGTCATTAGTCCTTCCTCCACACCCTGAGAAGGACCTCCATAGATACTTCTCCAGGGTTGTCTAGAAGGAGGCCCTCTTTTAGGCAACTTGTGTCCTCTTCAGGTCTTCTACAAAAGAAAGTATAAGGAGAAGATGGAGACATGTTTTCCATCTCCATTCCTTCCACACTGTCCTCCTCAAGTTGATGGAGAGAAATTCTCACTGTTATAACCCAAAGGATTGGAACAGCATTCCATGAAAGAGCTCCTTTTTGCTTCGCAGACCTCCCTGTCAAATGGGAAAGACGTGGAGGATGAGGCAAGCGTGACCAACATCTCCACTTTCTTTTCCTGTCCAGGTTTTTAAAGGTCAGAAGTGTCACTGAAAATTCCCTGTGTCTCAGAAGCACTGCAATTTGCAGACAACCACTAGCCTGCCTTGGAGAAGCCTGGGACTGCTCCCCATATTGCTCATTTGTCTCCTGAAGTCTTCCCCCTCCCACTGCTGTCCTTGGACAAATTGCCATTCATCACAGCGTGTTGTCGGACAGGATTCTTGTCCCCTTGATTGCCATCACAGGAGGATTACCATGGTCTTCTTAGTCTTCTTGTGTTCAGGCAAGGGGGCTTGCCAATTAACCTTTTCGTTTCTTCTCTTGGCCTGGTGGAGATCCAGCAGGGCAAAGCTTGTTGTTGGGCCACTCAGCTCCTCTTTCACTTTCTTATCAGAGAGAGATTTTCTCCACATTTTTATGAAGTCTTCGAATCATACGTCCTTGTCTTCTCCTTAATGAACTGGCCCAGCCCTACCATCAGGCAGAGTGAGTAGGTGGCAGAAGCCAAAAATTACCAAAGGTAATAAAAGTCCTTTGGCTGTTTATTGCAGTTCCCCTCTGTTGGAGACAGAACTCTAAGCATGTCACACAATTCACCTGATTCCCCTGAACTTAATCCCCTAAACTGCTTCACATGCAGTCACATGCATTTACTTCTTTGTTATGTCCAAATGCCCGCTTAACGGCATATTTTGCAGATTTCTCTTTTTAAACTGAGGAGCAGAATGGTTTGGTAGTTTGGATGTTGTAAGTGACCTTGGGAGACAGGAGGAAGAGCTGCAGACTAGACAACTATCATGCAAAAGGTATCTCAGCCCACAGAAGGAAAAGGGGCATGGGAAGCATCTCAGAAGGGAATCTCCCTAGTTTTTGGAAAGTAAAAGGAAAGGAGGGGAGAAATGCTTTCAAACTTGCAAGATTCTGTTACTGTAACCTTACAGTAAAGGTTAATGTTAGTACTCATGGTTTGTGCTTCTTGTCTGGACTACCTTGAAGGGCTGACAGATGTTGGGCTAAGACCAGGAAATCTTAGTTCAAGTCCTTCTGCTAAAAGATGTTGGGAGACTTGGGACCAATTTGTTACCTCTTAGTTCCATCAACCTCATAGGGTTGTTTTTGGAGATGTCAAATTGGATCAGGGAGGTACTATATGTGATCCTTTGGAAGAAAGGCAGCACAGAGAGCAAATACATAAATACATAAATAAATAAATACATGTTCCTCCCTGTTTCCTTTAATGTTTCATCTTTTATTCATTTTTCTCCCAGTCAGTGCCAAGAGGATATCATGCTTTCATTTGACCACGACTTTATTAATTGCAGAACATGGGCTAACCATGGCTAGAGGGCTTCCTGGGTACTGACGTTCTTGCTCCCCTGGTGACTTACTGGAGTGCTTGTCTAGCTCAGCTCTTGCACAAGCCGTAAGATGGGAGCTTACAACAGAACCAGTCATTGTCTAAGAGAACCGGAGGCTTCGTTCTGAATCCACTAACCACTGTTGCATAATGCAAAACTTCCTGGCAAGGACACCCAAGAGATGAAAGCACTGTGTGTGTGCGTGTGCGCGCACATGATATGTAGAATGTAGCTACGGACTCCTTCAGTACATCATGAACTGCAGAGGCGGCCAGCTTTTGGTCTTACAACTCTCATTTCTTTTTCTGCCCACATCTCATCTTCTGCTTCATTGTGGGCTCCACAAAAGTGAATACTCTGTGTTATCTCTTCAGGAGGCAGGCATGATCTTTTTGTGTTGTCTCACATAACCGTTGGACGTAATCTAGATGTAATTGCTTAATGCAGTCCAGAAGCTCTTAGCCTCATTTTTATGGTTGGCTGGATGGGAAACAATGCGTCAGGTGAACACAAGATGTGGTGGAGATACTTCAACTTGAGAATTTGAGAGAGCGTCCCCTTGAACATGGCCAATTCTCTATCACTAGAGCTTTGCTTCTTGATCAGGAACTTGGGAATCCGTTTGTTTTTTGTTGTTTCAACTAACAGGTTCTGAGGCCTGAAAAAGTTTGGAAAAGGTTTCCTCGCTCCTTTTTTTTTTTTAATCAGTGAATTCCTTTTTATCTCGTCCACTGAGATGCAGAAGACCTTTTCCCCCTGCAAGGTTTGGGAGAGGGGGCAGGGCCGGGTGCTTTCTACACATGCTCAAAAGGACTGATGGCTCTTTGAATTAAAGGAGGCACACTTTGCAGGGCTCTTGGGAATGCTTGTCGATGAGGCGCTAATGAAAAGGTGATTGAGAGCATCTCTGCCATCCTTCATTTGCAAGTCAAGAAGGTTGAAACATTTAACTCTTGCCTTCCTTTTCAGTGTGTGTGTGTGTGTATTTACAACATTGTAGTTAGGATTAGCTTTCACATGAAGCAAAGCATTGCCCTTCCTTCCTTCCTTCCTTCCTTCCTTCCTTCCTTCCTTCCTTCCTTCCTTCCTTTTCCTCCCTCCCTCCTCCATCCATTTCCCTCCTTCCCTCCTTCCTTCCTTCCTTCCTTCCTTCCTTCCTTTTCCTCCCTCCCTCCTCCATCCATTTCCCTCCTTCCCTCCTTCCTTCCTTCCTTCCTTCCTTCCTTCCTTTTCCTCCCTCCCTCCTCCATCCATTTCCCTCCTTCCCTCCTTCCTTCCTTCCTTCCTTCCTTCCTTCCTTTTCCTCCCTCCCTCCTCCATCCATTTCCCTCCTTCCCTCCTTCCTTCCTTCCTTCCTTCCTTCCTTCCTTTTCCTCCCTCCCTCCTCCATCCATTTCCCTCCTTCCCTCCTTCCTTCCTTCCTTCCTTCCTTCCTTCCTTTTCCTCCCTCCCTCCTCCATCCATTTCCCTCCTTCCCTCCTTCCTTCCTTCCTTCCTTCCTTCCTTCCTTTTCCTCCCTCCCTCCTCCATCCATTTCCCTCCTTCCCTCCTTCCTTCCTTCCTTCCTTCCTTCCTTCCTTTTCCTCCCTCCCTCCTCCATCCATTTCCCTCCTTCCCTCCTTCCTTCCTTCCTTCCTTCCTTCCTTCCTTCCTTCCTTCCTTCCTTCCTCTCCCTCCATCTTCCCTCCATCTTCCCTCCTTCCTTCCTCCCTCTCCCAGAAAGATTTACACACCACTATAAATACAGCGTGTTTTACTACCCATGTTAGTAATCTCTCTTCTGGTTTGAGCAGTTTCTTTTCCTTTTACAGATTATTACAAATCAAAATAATCTGGAAGCATTTTTTGTTTACAACTTTCCTCCAGTTATGGACATTTTGAGAAAGTCAATTTAGGAGGCCACAATGGGTAATGGAAAAAAGTGTGTGCAGGATGGTTGTGGGGGAAGTAAAACTTCCCCAATGTAAAAGGTGTTTTAAAGGCAACATTCAGAAAGGAATGATTTCTGGCCATTTCTAGCTGTTGCCTTCCTTTGTTACAATGGGGGTCCTTTAGGCAGGGAATTCTGGGAGTTGCCATTCAAAACACACAGTGGTGGGCAGCAGATGACCTTCCATTATATTACATGCTAAGATCTGCCTTGAGCTAGGCTTGACTTCTAGTGACCTCACGGGCATGTCCATATAGTTTTCTTGGCAATAAAACAAAGGGGATTTGCCATTGGCTCTGTGGTTTTTGGTTTTTGACCTCCTAATTTAGCTTCCAGTCTTGGGATATCCTGGTGCTTTCCTATCCAAGTCCTGTCCAGGTCCACCCTTAGCTTTTTGAGATTAACCCAACTCAGCTAGCTGCTGCCATCAACTCTAGTCCTTGGTCTGAGGAGCTCATGAAAGTGTTCATGGCATCTTCTGCTTCCAGAAATGGAACTACAGATGTGATTGACCCCAGTGCGGGAATCTGTGGGGGTTGCTTCAGTGAGTTTGCCATTCCTTCCCCTTTTTGATGGAGGAACAGGCCTCTATCCATGGTTTTCAAAACTTTCTCTTGCTTCCATCTGGCAGGTGAAAGAAGATCCAGCGGAACCAGGACAACCTATTTTGACTTCACACACAAATGACTGGCACCTGGCAAATCCCGAAAAGGAATCCATCACCATTGTACTGCACAGTGCCTCCAACCTGCCCTCAACCCGCAAGGGAAATGTTCCCCGCCCGTACGTCATTGTGTGAGTATATTTTCCCCCAAAACTTCTGCAAAGATTCTGAATTGAGTGAAGGACCTGTGTTAAAGGATGATTGCACTAGGGGCTTAAATGGTTCTGGTTTTCATGTGGGCAAAACCTGATCATCAGATGTGTTTGTTTCTCGTTGCATATGAGCAATGAGTTGGGTCATAAATTCAGTATCCATGGGGTTTGAAACCTCAATACTTTTTATAATACCTGTAAAGGTATGTGGGAATGACCTTGGGAGATGGGGGGAAGAGATGCTGCTTAGGGAATGAGCAGATAAGAGGGGATGTACCCCACACAGCTGCATAACAGGAAGAGAAAGAAACTTGGAAAGGAACCCCCCTAACCTCTCAGGCTGTAAAAGAGACAGCAGGAGATTTGTACTTTCAGACTTGCAAGATTCTGTTAATTAGACTTACAATAAAGTAGAATTAGCCCAACTGGTCTTGTTTCCTGTCTGGTCTACCTGGGAAGTCTGACATCAGTCTTGCAAGTCTGAAAGTACAAATCTCCTGCTGTCTCTTTTACAGCCTGAGAGGTTAGGGGGTTCCTTTCCAAGTTGCTTTCTCTGTCTGTTAGGCAGCTGTGGGCTACGCCCCCTCTTATCTGATCATTCCCTAGGCAGCCCCCCCCCCCCCCCGCCATATCTCCCAAGGTCCTTCCCACATACCATTACAATATCCCACGATGGTCTCTGGTTGTTTACAAATAAATAAATTCTAAATTCTATGAGGAAAAAAAAAAGTAATGATACAGACTCCCTTCCAAGGTGCACTTTGAATGAAAGCCCCAGTTTTGACTGTTGGGCTGAGATGGGAGGGGGGGAGAGAGCACAATGGCACAATTCCCACATTATGAGATTATGAACGATTGTACCTGATTTGCTTTCTGAGGTCAGAGAGAGAAATATCAGATGCTGGAGGATTTAGAGGACCCAGTGATGCTTTTGGCATTCTAAATTTTTGCACTGAATAAATAAAATTGAGCTGCCTGTAGTTTTCCTCTGTTGTGTGTATAATCAGGGCATCGTGGGACTCAATTATAGTCTGGCAGTGTGGGCTGGGTGATTAATTGAAAGGGCATTGCTGAGTTGGTTTGTGATCAGATGGATTGCTCTTGAAAGCAGGAGGGAGCTGGGGCTGAGAAACCTAACGGTTTGCAAAGCTTCCTGAGACTTCAGACGTGAGGTTGATTTTGCTGGCCCCAAAGCCCAGAACTGGGAGCATTCTGGAACCCCAGTAAAGAAGCATGCAAGCACAGAATTTTGCATTTTCAGTATGAAAAAACATCCTACTGAGTGGGGCATAATTTAGGGCGGCTTTAATGATCTGCACAGGGATAAACAAAAGTGAAAGGCAGACATTTATATTAATAGAGAATAAATATGGCCAGCAAGAAAAGTGATCTATTAAATAGTGAGGTTTGATTGATTCAGATCTTCTCTTCTCTTCTCCTGAAAATCAAAAGGAAAATAAATCAGCTCTTTAGCAGGCTAGAAGGCTACAAAGGACAGGAGAACTCACCACATTTTGAAGTAATTAAGAAGAAAGCTTCGTTTGTTTGTTTGTTTGCTGGGAACCACACTGGGCATTTTGGGAGAGAGCAAGAGCCCCCATGGGTGCGGTGATGAAATGGGAGTGTGGCCATTTCTCCCTTTTGGATTGATGGGAGACTTCTTCTTCTTCTTCTTCTTCTTCTTCTTCTTCTTC